AAGAAAAGAAAAGCAAACTCTAAAAGATTTGATATCTCTTGAATCGTTTTCTGTCAGATTGAGAGTGAAGAGATGAACGAATCATTCTGTAGCGTACACAGCATCAGAGGTTAAAGGATGTCCTACCAGTCGCAGATTCTCTTAATCCTTGCTGGTTTAAGTGAGGTCCCCCTTTGTTGAGGTGCTCTGTATTAAGCTGCCTGCAGGTAGACGTCCCACTGGTGGAGGACAGACTCACAGCAGGCTGATGGTCTGTGGCTGGTAGAAAACAAGACAGATGAGCTCTCCATCATATGCAATGAAACAGAGCTGTTCTGACTGTATTGATTAAGAATGATCAAGCAGAAAAAAGTATTAGTAGTGGCTACTCTGAGAACAGAAAAACAACTGAAATTATTTATAACATAGACACAGGAGCTGGAAGGAGGACTTACATATAAACTATAACTATTCAAACAAATAGTTATTAGTATTGTGACACAACTTTTTACACTAAAGTGAGATAACGACACTTTGTTTTAGTAACTTCTTGATCTTTTTCGAAAAACAACCTTCTGTCTCCCAATGACACAAATTTCAGAATTAACAGAATGAACTGAAAGAATTGCTCAATGATTTTGTTTGAGCGTGCCAGTTTTGTTTAATACTGTCAGACACGTTTGTTGACACGCAGAGGAGAGCGATGGGTTGAGTGATCCGTACCAGTCTGCAGTATCAACACTTTCTTCTCATCCTTTGACAGTGAGTGGTCAGGTTTGTATCCGCAGCCCTGTCCTGTCAGCTCCACACACCTCTCATCAAACCTCTTCTTGTGATGTGGCCGAACGAACTGGTAGAAGCCTGCAACACAGAGGCTCCGTCAGAATCAACTGGTGAGGAAAAAAATCCAGTGAACTATATTGTACATATCACTATTACTGTGCTTCATTTTAAATCTTGATAATTTGTATATATCAAGAGAAGGAAAATGGGTTCATCAAACATACAACATGTTGAACAGTCGGAATTAACTTCTAAGTGTAGTCAAAATCTGATGTTTGGATTTTTAGACTAAAGAATTACCTGTTAAAAAAATCTGAAGCCAATCATGAGAAGATTTAAATTTCAATTCTGAACTTTGACATTTTATTTCTCCGCCTGTGTTCAAATCTGATGTGTTGGCGTCACATGAACAAAGGGCAACCCTTGCGCAGGTGAATAATATATCTACCAAAAACCTTGGTAGCGTGTGCTGAAGAAAAAACGTCATCGATTATGTTTGTTTAATTTGACTGATGTCAGTCACAGGCTGTCAATTGTGTCATTTGATTGGTTGTAAGCCTTGTGAGGGTGGTTCTTAGATGAGATGAACTGGAGGCAGATGGAGAGCGAGAATTGCGTGATGTGGTGTGTCAGGAGGACCTGTTTAGTTTGGGAGAAGAGCAGAGCGAACGTTCACACAAAGTCCAGAGGATGTGAGCACGCAGCAGGAGATCCTCCAAAGGATTAATGAGGTGAGAGGGTGTGTTGATGTTGACAGATGCAAAAGTAAAAACAAATATCTCTACATGAAAAAGTGGTCCCACACATGTAGAGGACACTGATGATGTTAAGAGAGCTTTTGAGGATAAGAGCTGACGCCCTGTCGAAGTGCTTTAAAGAAAAACACATAATCACACAGGCTCCTCTCCTGTGGAACCAGCTCCCACTCTGGGTTCAGGAGGCAGACACCATCTCTGCATTTAAAGTTAAACTTAAAATGTTCCTCTTTGATAAAGCCTATAGTTAGTTCTGGATCAGGTGAGTCCTGAACCATCACTTAGTTATGCTGCTATAGCACTGAGGATCTCTCCACTTCTCTCTGTCTCTCTGCCCCCCCCCCNATTAATTACATCTCAGTAATTAATTATGATATGAATTGTGCCTGTTATCAATAATAATTAAATGTCTTTACACTGTTGTTTACATTTTAACTAATGTCAATGATGTCACTTCGTTCTCTCTCTGTCTCTCTCTCTCTCTCTCTCTCTCATTGCAGATATCTCTGACCCCGGAACCTCAGGACAACTTTTACCATTATTATTATTATTAATTACATCTCAGTAATTAATTATGATATGAATTGTGCCTGTTATCAATAATAATTAAATGTCTTTACACTGTTGTTTACATTTTAACTAATCAGATCTAATACCTGATGGTGCTGAAGTGTTCCCGGTCTCTCTCGCCTCTCTATCTCCCCCTCCTCCCCCCTCCCCACTATCACTCTCTCTTCTCTCCCCTCTTTTCCCCCATCTCTCCTCTCCTCCCCACTTTTCTCTGCTCACCCCAACCGGTCGAGGCAGATGGCCACCCACCGGGAGTTTTTCCTCCAGTCGCCAAAGTGCTGCTCATTGTAAGAACTGTTGGGTTTCTCTATATTTAATACAATTTTAAGGTCTTGAACTTCTATGTAAAGTGCCTTGAGATAATGTATATTATGATTTGGCGCTATACAAATAAAATTGAATTGAAAAAGTATTGCTTCTTGTAATCTACCACAATGTGAAGTTCAGTGAAGAGACAAGGTGAGTGTTAGAGAGGGCGCTTTACTGTTGAGTACAGCAGAAGACTTACCGCGGAGCAGACTGTGAGTGTTGGTGTCCTCAGTTAAGACAGCTGTCTCAGTGAGCAGGACATCCAGGTTGTCTGTCTTCTTGTAGGTCTGCAGCGCCTGCACAATGCGATCAAAGTTGACCTGGCTCAGTGACTTCTTCATCTCTGCCAGAAACGTCTTAGCTCTGCCTGCTCTACTTTCCCCACACGCATCCTCTGACACGCTGGTTTTCTTCATAGATGGAGAAAAATACACACAATGTGATGGTCAACTGGATTTTTCTTTTACAGAAACAAACAAAGATACAGCAACAATAAATATTTAGATTTATCACAGAATATTTGTAATCAAACATCAAATAGTCGCGTAAAAATTAAATACACTGTAACCAACTTAAAATATATTAGTATTTCTAAAAAAAAAAAGAGAATCGGACAAAAATGCATACAGTTGAATCTCCTTCCTGTGAATCGGTGTGACATGCACACTATACATTGTGTATTGTTAACACAAAGAGTCATAAGAATGAAGGAGCCACATTACTGCATGCGTCTCCCTGAAAAGCTTGTGTTGGTTTGTTTAAGTGCATGTGATCAGGTCCTCAGAAATACTCCCACCATCGCATTACACCAACAGACACACATGGACAGGCCACTCAACTGATACATTAAAAGAAGAATTATAATGAACAATATTTTCAATAGTTTTCATTCCATCCTCAGGATGATTTTGTTGGACATTCTACAACTGACTTAACGGTTTCAGGGGATGAGTAATTTTCTAATCACAATTCAGCCAACCGTCAACAGACTACAGACTCCCCTTTAAAAATACTAAAAACACATGATGAGATGAAGAGATTATTAAATATTTCACCTAATAATTATGAATAAGTGATTAAATTAAAAATGGAATCAAAAAATTCATTTCACCTCCTCTCACTTTTAAAAGATCACTTCACCAATTAAAGGTGGGTGGGCAGAGCGCCACCTGTAGTAAATATGGAATAAATCCAATCTACAGGGTCTGGCTGACAAACATCAGTGATGATTGCAGCACATGCACGCACACACACAAACACACACACGCCATTTGCCAATTCAGTAGACATGTCTAAATCCTCATGCATAGAGTTGAAAGTTTCTTCTGTATGAGAATAAATATTGACAAATCCCTCACAATGCAGTGGAACCGTAGATGGCGCAAACATCCTTACACCCCTGTCTATGAAGGAGGCAATTCAGCTCTGATTTTCACTTGTTAGAAAATCTTACTTTATACTCAACACATGTATATTGGGCTTCATGCTCTTGCTGCACAGCAGCTAAGCGGGTTGAACAGATCTGTGGAAAAAAAACTCAACATGTACCTGCTCTTGGACCAATTTGATTTTACGTTTTCCTCCCCGCATTTCATCTTCCATCCTCTTGTCATGTTGAATAGAGAGTGTGGACAAATGGTTTGCCTTCAAAAGAAAAATACACAATTCAACAGAAGTGTAATAAAATATCAGATAAGTGTATTTTTCCATTGTTGTTTCAGAAAGTGACATACATCAGTAATATCTGTGCTGACCTGCAAACCAACAACCAAAAGTTGAATTGAACAAGAAATTGACCACAAGTTATTGTGTACACAGGACTCTCTTTTGCTTAGTAGCTGGTCCTTCAATGTATCCCAGTACATATTCAAGTTCACACTAGGACTGCAGCTATCGATTATTTTAATAATTGAGCTATAGCTTATTCCACTGATTAATTGAGTAATCAGATTTAAAAAAAACACGTTTGCCTTCATAAATAGCAAAAGTAAATATACTAAAGAGAAAAAAAGACTGACTAGTTTCCTTTTTAGACATACATTCAACATTTCTGTTAATTGCAAACTAAACCTATTTACTGTATTTGAGTGCCATATGGTTTTCTGAACATTTTCTGACATGCAAAAACATAAAAACAAAAAATAATACAAATTGTAGAGTAGTACAGTTAAATAGATTCAATTAAGCTTCAATGCAAAGAATTTGCATCCTTTATTTGTTTCCTCAATGCATCTTGGGTATGTTCAAACTTGTACTTCCAGCTTCCCACTTGTGATTGGATAACCTGAAACAAGGCTGAACAGGGTCTAAACAGAGAACAGCAATTGACTTGTAGGACAGGTCACTGTGTCTCACAGTACACACACTACCTTCTCCTCTCCCACGGCAGCATCAGCGTCCTCTCCGTCGTGGACGTCCCCACGCTCCAGGGCGTCCAACAGGTTGGCTGGTCTCCTCTGACTCTCCTGCACCTCACACTCATACTCAATACAGATTCTGGCCATCCGAGTAGCTCCAGTGTTTTCATCTGACACACAAAGACCAGACAACAGGTTACAACTTACAACACATGAAGGACTAACTTCTCATGGGAACCCTGCCTTTATATTCATACTCACTGAGCCTCCTCCTCTTCAGGCTGGGAAGGTGGTTGTCCAATACCTTGGCCTTCTGTGTATGGGAGCTTTGGGTGGATGTGCAGGAAGTGAAGCCAGAGGACTGAGCGTCTGATAGACACTCTGCGCTACATTTCTCTGCAGCAGTCTTCTTCTCTACTACAGGCCTCTGGCACAGTCAAACACAAACACTCAGTCAATTTAAACTCAAAATCAACTCAAAATTAACTGCCAACACACAGGCAGGTCAGATACAATGAGGCTTTTGTTCCTGCCCTTCAGTGCAGATGAGCTGCATTCTGCCCCCCATACATGCAGTACGTTATGTATCAATCAGGTGCAGGAGCTCAGAGTCATAGATTACATGTTACTTTAGTGAGTGTCTCTGTCATTGAATATGCATTTAAGGGAGGATCGCACAAATACAAGACATACTACTATATGCTGATTATGTTATCCACTGTATTTGTTACAGTCAGTCAGGGATGGCCAGTTATAACTGGAACAATCTTCACCTCTGGAGAGTAGAAACTACTTGTGACAATTAAATGCACATAGGCAATAAGGACAGTTGTCAGGGTAATGACTTTCAATTTTAGAAACCTCAGTGAAACTAAACTAAAACTAAAATCATAGTTAGTTAAAAATAAAATAGATTTAAATCAATGTGCTTCATCAAAATTCAGTTTGAACTGATCATATCAAAGGTTCTTTATGTGACAAGGGACAAGGGAGTGTGACTCTTCAGACACGAACTCTAGAGGATGTCCGGACTTTCTCCACAGTCTCCGCTTTTTAATCCGGAGATATTCGTTTTCTTTTTGTCTGTTGTGTGTTAGAAACGTTATCACCACCCCCACTTGTCACTCAGACATTTGGTTCACAGAAATAGTTCCTCTGAAGAATGTCCAGAGGATTTTCAGAGTTCAGTACGTGTCTGAAAGTTTCTTTCCTGTGCTGTTGGTACGGGATGGAAAAGGGGATTTACAAAAACAAGGCACAATTTATTTTGTATTAAGTAGAATAATTAATAATAATAAATAAATTAAAAATAATTTCAAGATGACTAAATAAATGTGCACCATATCTGTATTTGATTACTGGACAAAAACAGAAATTATTTCTGAACACACTGTATATGATATTTTGGGCTAAAATTAACTGGGTGCAGGAGTTGTAATTAATGTCTGTTAAACTTGAAATTGAATGTTACAGTGACTGTATTCTGTATAGTCCATCTGCCCCACCCTCTCCCTCACTACACTGACTGTGTAGTAATAATAGCAACAACAAAGTTGTCAGAATCATAGCAGTTTTGTGTGCATGGTGCAGGACTCACCAATTTCTGTGCAACCCTGAAAAATTGAGACACGTCACGGACCACATTCCCAAAGCCATCGTACAGACGCACATAAGGCCTAACCCACGATGGAAGCTGGGCCCGGGCTTCAGAGCTTTTAAACCTGTGGGAGAAGTCACATGATTTTAGTTTTTAATTGACCCATTCTTTCTGAATGATGTTAGCAAAGTTAAATGTTTGACTATTTAAATGGGCACTTAACAGACACATGAGCTTCAGCTCACTATCAGCCTGTGAAAAGAGTTGTATAGTGTCATGTGTGCTTCTGATATAGTGTCACATAGTCATGTTGTCATGGTTACCCCAACTGACTTTTCTCTTTAAAAAAAAAAAAATTCTAACACATTTAATTGATGTAATGATTCAAATTTTTAAACATTTTTACTCGTTGGAATATTTTGACACTAATGTTGATTTCTTCAGGAATGAATTTTGTTCCCAAAGACATTCCAGTTAACTTAACTTAATTACAACTTGCATGAGGACCTCAGTATCTCAGTGTAGGTAATAGTATGACTTGTTACTGATGACTGACCTGTGATCGCACAGGAAGATGGCTCCATAGTCGTCCTTATGGCGAATAACTCTACCCACGGCCTGGTTCACAGCTCTGAAAGCCTGCTGTCTGTACCACTCCTGCCCAGACAGGTACTGTCCGAGCACACACACATTATATATACACACGCAGACAAATATAACAACAACTATGGTCATGGGGCATTTTAAGTCAAACGCTGAGCAGTTTTCCTCACCTTTATCCCAGGAGCTCTTTTCCGGCTCATCTCATCCAAGAACTGCATCTTCAACTTGACTCGAGGGTCCATCATTGGAGGGAAGGGAAGGCCTGTGATGATGACACCCCGACCAAAGGTGTCTGCAAAATCCAGACCTTCACTAGCCTGATACAGGATTCACAGAAATGCAGTGAGAGGGACTCATTAGTGTATTGTTCCATCTCATATGAAAGGAAATGGCAACTGAATGATGCAAGTGTCATTATTTTTGGTGAGAGACAGCTGAGTGGGGAAAAAGAAACCTCTAGCTACTTATTATAGAGACAATGCAAACAGCACACGGACTGTTCCCAGAATGTATTTATTGTTATACAAACTGCACAGGTGAGCGATACGTCTCATTACATGTTATGTTTAATGTTCACATGCCCCGACACAGCCTGACAAAAAGTTTTTAACTGGATAATGCCAATTTATGTTAAAAAAATATTGAGATGTCTGTGCCCATTTCAAGTCATATGCACTTGCTATGTGTGTTTTTTATCTTGTCCTAGCTCAGGGCAAATTAAACATACAATCATACTCATTTTGTGGACTTTTATGGTCCAAGAGGATTTTTTTGGTTGAGCACACTGGGCAGGACTTGCTTCAAATTTCAAGCCAATCAGATTCAACTTGGGTTCTTAATTACAGCCCCACCATCTGGCTGACTATGCTTATGATTTTTTTTAGACCAAAATTGGTCTCCCTAGTCATTGCACTTTGAGCTTTTAATCTCTGAGTTGCTGATGTCAAGTCAGGCTACGTCCATAATGGCTGCACAAGGCTGTGTCTTAAGGCTCATTAATGCTGCCATTATATTTTCATGAGTTCTTCACGTTGGCATCATTGTTAAGTAATATATCCACTAGAGGGCAGTGCAGAGTTGACAGTTTCTGAGAAAAACAGTACAGTGACAGTGGAGGAGGTTGTGATAGTGTGTCTTTAGAAAGAGGCAAAAGCTGCCATGCTGTGAATTGTTTGTCCCTGTGACCAGGTGAAGTAAGATCATAGAGATGCCTGTAGTTTATACCAACTCGGAAAGTGTCTTCTCAAAAGGTTCCGTGATTTTTAAATATGTCTTCCTCATGTCCTGTGTTTGCCTTGCTTATAGATACTGTTTGATACACTACCCTCCATGTTTACATTGGAACTTCTTCATTTCACCTTCATTTAATTTCACTATTTTAGTCAGAATCCAAAAGCTTTAAGAAGAAGTGCACAAATATGGACAAAAGTAATGCTGAGTACGGACAGAAGGCTCCGTCTGTTTCTGAATACGTCACTTCCTGATTGATTCTTATTGGTGACAACTCCAGTACCAGTGGTAAAATTATCAGTAACAGTTCTACCTAATCATTCTAAGAAAACCAATCTATGCTCTTCTTTTTCACCATTATAGTTCCTAATTGACTCTAAGAAACAACTAAGAAAAAAACTGCAGCGCAGACAATCTGCCTTTTTTTATAATCCGGCACATGACCAGTGTACGTGCATACGAGCATATTCTGAAACATTTTTACGGACTTCATGGACACACAAAAACCTCACCTTCCCTCGACACACAGCAAAGAAGCTTCCCCCTTTGGATGCTGGATCACGGACTTTATTGTAATATCCATCAATAACCTACGAACAGAGAGAAATGAAAAAATAAAAAACTTTACTTAAAGTTGCAAAGTGCTTTACAAGGAAAAAAACAATAAGAATAAAACAATGAAACATGAGCAGAGAAAATAAAACAGTAAAATAGGGGTTGCCAGGGTAAATAACAGCCACTGTCAATCGTTTATAAAAGCTTGAATGAAAAGAAAACTTTTAGGAAAGGATTTAAAAGAAGATAGAGAATTAGAGTTCAATGGGGTATGAATTCCCAAAAAACCTAGATTGAAAAAAACACTATACATTTTTAAAAAATATATTTGAGGTTACTTTAAGGCATGAGTTGTTATCACTCTGCTATCGGGAAATTAACCAGTTCCATAAGGAAAGCTTGTGAAATACTGCGAGACATGCAAAAGACACACATACCTCAGTAAAGGTGCCCTTTCCTTTAGGTTCAACAAACATAGGCTTTATGCTTTCAATACGATCTGCATGTCCGTTAGCCTGATGAGAGAAAACACAGTAGCAGCACATTTAACATGATAACTTTCAATTCAGATATCATACAGTCTTGTGTTTCCTTATTGCTAGATTTCCACTCACCCTCCAGAAGTCCAGTGTTTTTTCCATAAGGGGGAAGGAGGGGAAAAACACTAAGAGACCATGAGGAACTACACGGCTCATGTTGGCTAAGGAGAGAACACAACAGGAAACACATCCATGAGACCATAACTACAGAAAGGATGAAGTCTAAATATTTGATGTATGATACTTTTTCTAAACAAACAATGTTCTCATCCTGAGAAACGTGGCAGAATAAAGATACTGTATATATTGTTTGATCTTACCAACAGTTTTGCCTAAAGATGCCATATTTTCAGGAACAAACCTGGCAACAGAAAGAAACATTAGGAGCTTTATTTGCAATATATTTGATAGATAAGCAATATCATTATTCTATAATAAAAAAGGGAAGGTTTTTTATTTAACTCTAGAGTCTCTTCTATGTATGTATATGTGATTAAAAGTGTAGAAGCTTTTTCTGTAGGAGGAAACACTAACCTTCTGTCAAACGCTGAACTCAACTGCTCGCCATCTGGGCCTCGTTCAATGACGCTAACAAATATCTGGTCCCGCTCAATGACATGGCCGTTCTCCAGGCACACTGGGAACTCTCTGCAGCAACAGCAAAAACACACTGAGATCGAGATCAAGGCTTTCCTGCTGCCAATTGAACTAAATGATTGATTACTAAGGTTAAGTGTGTAAACATTTAATGTTTAACATTCAATTGCTTCGTCTTATAGCATTCTGTACATACTAAGTACAGCTTAGTCTGTACTTTATCAGGTTACTTTATCCTGAGTTATGTCTGTCTGGAACAATGTGGTGGATGGACAGACAGAAGGACATCACAATCCTAAGAGCATTCAGAGATGAAAATTACACTACAAAGAAACTAAATCCACTTTGTTGAGTTTGTCAATCAGATTTGCGGTCCCTTTATTATGTAGCTGTTGACTTTGGGCCCCAGTCTGTAGTGTTGGTTGCATAATTGTACATAAATCCAGCTTTGGGAGGCAACGAGTAGGAGGTAGCTTACATCCTCATCTCAGAGGTGAATGAGGACAGAGGTGAGAGGGTTCCACTGGTCAGAATGATGCAGCGAACACCTTGGTTCACCAGATCCTGCATGCTGAATCCAGGAGAGAAGCACCAGTAACTCAGAATATTGCCTACAAGGTACACAAAAGAACCATTTAAGCAGGTTCGCTCAGAGTAGAGGCAGGACAGTGAAGCAACCTGAACAAGGTCAGCAGGGTTCATGGTTCAGATATCCACACAGAAGGTTTAAAATGGCCATGAATTATTTCAAAGCAAGTTAAAGATGATGTATTGTGGAAAACCAGAGTTTAGTTCTGTGAGCGTCGATGAGGAATGAAGGTCATTTCATTACCTTGTTTCTTTGATGAGGATGCCGCCCACACATCAGAGCTCTGTTTTTTCCTGTGAGAGTTGGTGTCTCTGTGAATGTGAACCTGAGCCAAACACATTGATATTTCAGCTGATGTCACTGCATAAAGAACAAGTGTGTTGAGATGCAAAATCACTTTCTGCCTGTTCATGGCTTCTGATGGACACGCACCTTAAAATGAGTGGTGTTCAACTGCATCTGCTGCTGTCTGTCCTTTTCTGATGGCTCACCATGGAACACCAGCTACAAGAAAAAGACAGGAAGAAAACTAACTGCTGTGTATGCCACGATCAACAACGGGTTCTGCTATTTAGCAGTAAATCTGGTAATGTGCTTATTTACATTTTCCAGAAAATATTCAAATCAACTAAAGAACTGATCACATGCTTGAGCATTCTTTACAGAAACAATTCTATTCAACTTCATTTGTACAGCGCCAAAGTACAACATAAATGATCTCAATGCCCTTTACATAATAAAGTCAAGACCTTGGTAGATAAATCCACAGTTCAGATAATGAGCAGACAAAAGATTTGTCCCCGAACCTTCAACGATTCCTTTAACTTTATTATGTAGCATACCTGTATGATATCAGCCAGCTTCTGCAGTCCATTGGTGTTCAAGAATATTCCTGTCTCTGAAGAGAAACAAGATGAGATCTCATCTGTTTACCATATCAACTACTGCACATTTGTAATTGTATTGAAAAAATCTGTGTGATATGGACATAAGATTCTTTCAGGCATGCACTGAACTCCAGAGAATCACAGGACATACTCCAGTGAAAACATAAATGTTCGAGTGAGAGGCTCTGGGCTTTCTACAGAATTTCTCTACTTAGCCTACAAGTAAAAATTCCAGATTATGTCCGAATGAGCTGATGAGAGTACACAGCAGGAGATCCTCTGCACGACTCACCATTAGGGGGTGGGTGTGTTGTTAACATTTCTAACATGCGACAGATGCAAAAATTCATGAGATATTGTGTTCACAAGATCATACGTACAACCATACAAGCCGGACAACTGGAAAACATAATGCCTCGACTAGCCACTGGCTGTTGCCGATGCAGAGGCATAAAAAAAGAAAAGAAATATCTCAGGATGAAAAAGAGTGCCATTCACGTAGAAGACACCTTCGAAGATGTCAAGAGCATTTGGTGAAAAGAGTCAATGCCGGTGTCGGTGTGCTGTAAACAAAAACACATTATATCTGTAGCAGACTTAATAGTTACATCCAGCCTCTGCCAGCTACACCCCCCCTCACCTGAACCCTCCAAATACTATATAGCAGAGAATCTCCTGCTGTGTTGGTCATATGTGAAAGGTATCCTCCAGAGGAAGTCTGGACCAAATTGTGCCAATATTCTCTGGGGTTCCTGCCTGAAAACAGCTTACTACATGAGTATGGCTCAGGACTAAAGCATATTACAGATATTGGTGCAAAACAAACTCCATAGGTAAAAGATGTATCTCTTGGTAGACAGGGAAAAATGTAGTTACATGTCATCTTGTAAGCAATAAGTAGAAATGAATCCATACTGACGCCCAGCTAAGTATCCACTGATCTGCTCCAGAGCTTCATGGACTGCTGTCTTGCTGCTGTAGGTCAGGTGAGCTCTCTCTAACAGCTCATAGATGAAGCTGAGACAGAGAAGGAGAGGTGGCAAGTCAAAAGGCAGATATCCACTGGAGTGTTGTTGCAATGGATAATATTTTTTGAACCACTTTAAATGTCCTTCTAACTCCTTTCTTTTTACAATATATAATATCTAACTTCCTACGGTCAAGAAATGTAAAATAGAGTCTCATAATAATAACATCAGAATCCACAACTTTATGTTTCTAATACAGTACAAAGTTGGAGGCCGGCTAAACTTTGAGGGCAGAGCTGTATTTATGATTTATGATTACTGAGGTAAATTAGACAATTAATTATGACTAATCTTTCTCATATGACTCTCATGTTAATCATCAGACTGATATAAAACAATATGTGGATAAATCTGACACCTGGGAAGAGGAAATGTCCATATAAGTTGTTAGATGAAAGCAGATGCCAGAGAGGATGATCAATTATACTTGACGCTTTTAGAAAAGCAAAAATGTTGCAATCTGTTCAGTATCCCACATTTTGACGTACATTCCAGGTTTAGTGATGCCTTTTTCACTTGGAACATCATAGGAATCAATGGCAGCTTCCAGATCCAATAGAATCTCTGTAAGAGCAGACAGAAACCCCACAGAGCAGAGGATTAATGTGCAGTCAAACCTAGTTCATGAGATAATTGTGGTAAACACCAAACAAGGATTGTGTTTATTTATATCTTAAAGAATACTTACGTTTGATTTTTGCAACGGTGGTTAAATCTATTTTTAAACCTGAAAGAAAAAATATAACAAGCAGAGAACTCACAACATGAATTGATTTGTTAATAATAATAATTCAAATATGATTGAAGCCATTTGTCAATCAAATATCATTAATGCCACTCTTTAAGTGTGACGTCAATGAGATAAATAAGCGTTCTAACCAGAGTTGAGGGATTCTACATTGAAGTTTTCATTGACAGAATCTGTGTGGCTGGCTTCTGTAGCCTTCTCCACCAGCAGCCTGTCCACAGCATTAATGGCAGCAGCTACATCATAGGGAGTCAGGTCAAATGACGTCGACTCTTCGCATGTTTTTTCCTGCAGAAAACAAAAACATCATGTGGTGGATCCTCTGCCCTGTAGGAGAACCCCAGGTCAAATCTGTCACTATGCCCATGAATAATTTCTCCCATGTGGGCTCAAGAGGCTGCAACTTCCACTCAGATGAAACACTATGTTACTGGATTATTTCAGGCTCTCTGGTTGGTGCACTGAACCATTAACATTGCTGTTGTAGCCTTTGATAAGGATGCATATCTGCACCCTAAGTCAACTTCACACAAATTGCTTGTTTAAAATGTTTGAATCACCATTTCTGTTTATGGAAGCATCACACATATATTGTAACTTTTCAAAGCTGGGTATGAAAGTATGTGACCTTCACACTTCTGGCTCAAAACCTCTTTTTTCATTCCTCACACTAAGTATTTCCGGAAGAGCATCATAATTCGCATCTCTGAGATTGACTACGGACATGTTAAATACAGAGTTTTTAGAGAGAGATCAGGGAGGCTGTGAGATGGCCTATAATCAAACACTCAGTCAGTCACTACTGGTGCTCAAATACAATCGAGTGAAGTGTTAATGAAGTGAAGAAGCTCTTACCACATTATGAGCTTCATCGAAAATGACCACAGCTCCATTCAGCTCAATATTGTGGGCTCTACGGCTCTGTAGAGCAAAGGGAGAGGACAGAATAACTACATTCATTATTAGGGGTCAATTATCAAATTAAAGTCTATGTTAATGGACTTTACTGTCACCAAACACTTTGATAAGTATCTGTATAGTCCAACTGCCTCGGAACATCATTTGTCTTTGTGAACAGAAATGATGTACGAATTAATACTCTCTCCCTCTCTCACACACACTATTCTTCCTATTTTAAGTTGATGTACCATCACATTGATTTGAAATCCATTATTTTAAGGAAAAAAAGAAATTGAGCAGAAACGACTCAGAAAATGCGGCAGCTCACCTTTGGATCCAGCAGGTAATTGTAAGGCATAAAAATGAGATCTGCTTGCTGCTTCAAGGAACGTGAGAGGTAGTAAGGACAGACCCTGGAAAAAAAGAGCAGAAGAAAAAAGACCTTATAATCCCTGAAGCAATACAACAAAGCTGCAGCACAAGAACATTACACCAACATTTCATCCTCAGGCAGCAACAGTAGTATTTAGATTGCTGGATAACTAACGCCGTTTTCACACATTCCCGAGGACATCTACATCATTTGGTCTGGACTTTCTCCAGAGTTTGCCTTTCACACATGAACAATGCAGCAGGAGATTCTCTGGTCACACACATTCACAACAACACAGAAGTTCTCGAGCATTCAGGTGAGGGGTGTTGCAGAAGGCAGAGCAGGGATGTAGTTACGCTGCAGAGATTGCATGTTTTTCTTTTCGAGGGTCAGCTCCTAATCACCAAAAGCTCTCTTGACATCTTTGTCTTTTTCATCCTGAGATATTTGTTTTCTTTTTGATTTTTTTATTTCTGCATCTGTCGCAGGCTAGAATCTCCTGCTGTGTTATTAATCAGGATAAAAACTGGATCAGATCTGGACACAATCAGGATACGAAAAGCATTGTAATATTTGGTGTACATGAGCTGAGAAATTGGCTGGGGAGATTGACAAGTCAGTGAAGAAGAAAAGATAATTCTTACCTCTCTTTGTTGCCAAATTTGACCAAGTCTTCCACATCAAGGATAGAGTTCACCAAGTCTCTGTCAGTGCTCTTCTCTAAAGATGAAAACATACATATAATGTGCAAGGGTCACGAACGGCATTTAACAACAGGTGCTATATCATGACTAGACTAGACATATTACATATACCCAGACAAACATTTAGACAGGTTCGATTTTCCACAATACACTTTTATACATAATAATAACTGTGACAGTCACTTGTTCGATACGGTCATGAAAGCTGTTTTCAGACATGATCTCCGGAGGATGTCTCAGCAAGTTTTTGTTTCACAAATGACCAATGCAGTAGGAGCTGCAGAGATCACATGTTTTTGTTTACAGCACATCGACATCAGCTTTTATCACCAAAGACTCTCTTGACATTTTCGTCCATTTCTTCTGTGTAAGACACCGAGTTATTTTTATTTAGTTTTTTTTCACTGTGGGCATCTACTGTTTAAAGCTCTTCCGAGTGTTAAACCATTACCTTCAACATTATTGTAGTAGATACATGACCTGGTGGAGACTTTTCCTCTGCACATATGGACCTGAAAAACCCATAAAATTTGTATTAAAACTATGAAGACTGGTTCAGTTTGCATCAATTTTTGTGTCTAATCTTCTGCGTCTTTTAAGTAGCAACACATGCTCACACAGTACAGACTGTGGAATCAGGACATTCATACAGAGCTAACAGTCACAATTTAAAATACCATACTAAATATAAAATAGAGACTTTATGTCAGCATCTTAAAGAAAATTCATCTGACATGGCAACTAGAACAAAGCAGAGGGGTAGTTTGATTACCTTGACATGGTTGCTCTCTTGACGCATCACTTCCTGGTTGATACATAGCTGCTCTCTTGACCCCAGCACACACACCTTTGGCCTAAAACAGACATATGGGTACAGTGATAGAAATGTATGACTTTAAGGGAAATTGCCCAATACTAAGAGCTCAGCTTGTCTGTGATGCAGCTGAATCAGAGAAATAAACAGCAAAGTGTGGAAATACTAAAACTACATGAAAAACACATGACATGATATTTAAAGAAAAGAACATTTCTCACATCTTGTTCTGGTAAGACAGGTTACCTGTATGAAGTGTTCTTTAACTCACTCATGACCTGTGCCAGCTGAGAATGTGTCCTGGACGCATATATGATCTTGGGGACGTCAGTGTAGTAGGCTGGAACATAATGACACATTAATTACATTTGGTTTCAGAGTTACGTGAATCAAGAGTTTAACTGCCAAACGTCCAAATCATATATCTAGAGAACAGCTTTGTTTATAGAGTGAGAGATGGATGCAGAATTCAGAATCATCTCCAGACCTCAAGTTTACCAACCAAAAACCAAAGTTTGTATGGCCTTAACCTGAGTTACCGCATAATTAAGCATTTGGGAACTCTTTAAAACACTCCTTAAGGTGTGATACTTGTATAAACTGCACCCCATGATGGTGGTGAGTTGCGGTCATGGATAGAACTAAGGAGCTTTCACAAATGCTGACGGAGGAAATGATTTCATTGCACTTGAAGGGTTGGTTATGAGATTTGCGGAAAATAAATAAAAATGACAAGATCAGGACGTTAACAATGTGTGGGAGATAGGAGGTGGAAGATAAATAACTCGGGGGCCATGAGATATGAATCTGTTCTTTTCTAACAAGACCTGTGGAGCTGAAGAAGCCTCCTGATGAGAGATGAAACGTTTCATGATGCGGCCTCTATAATTAGTTTTAGTTTGACACACACTTTAAGTAAAGAACAGTAAAGAGTGATGCAGACAGTCTGTGATACTGTGGGCACTTTGCTCCTTATGTTTGGCTCCAGCAGCTGACAAAGGTTTATCATTCTCTCTGATGAGAATCTAAATCGTCTCTGAAGACCCTTGTCCTCCTCAGAGACTCTAACAATCCAGATCAGCTCCACGGGACTCCCCCCTTTTTTTATAAAGGGTTGATGTTTTATCTCACGTCTCAGGTTTTCAGGTTAGCCGTTCAGCATTAGTTACCATGGTGATTTACCCCGATGCAAAGTGAACGAGCTTCATAGGACTGAAAACCCTGAAGTAAAACTTAAGTTACCCCGATAACCACAAATCCTGCTTCATAGTACAGGTTTCTGAAGTGACCTTCTCAGTCCCTGGATTTAAATCTCATTAAACATATTTGGTGGGATTTATAGAAAGCAGTTACTGCACAGAAGCAATTAAACATCATTGAGCTAAAGGCTTGTGCATGTGAAGAATGGGCAAAGATTCCAGTAGAGGTGTAAGAAGCTTGTCAGCACTTATACAGAATACACTTATTAGAAGTTATGAAGGCAAAATGATGCTCCACAAAGTACTGAAGCTGGGAGTTGAATCGATAACAATGGGCATGGACATTTGTAAAAAGAGCTACAATTCTCATTGGAACATACGTCGATTCACATCAGTGATATGAACATACTTGGTGTGTCACCGTCTGTAGCAGCCGATCCCCAGGATGACAGAGGTGTGTGTGTGAACATCTCCCCATCCAGCTTCTGAGCTATCTTGCGGGCAGAGATGGTGTCCTTGAAGTGGTCCCTCCAGGCCAAGGTGGCGCACAGTAAACACAAGGTTTTACCAGTGCCTGTGGGACTCTCCAGAGCCCCGTTCGTTTTCTGCAACAAACACAGATTAGCACTGGATGAATCCTCGGAGAGAGAGTTTCTGCCAAAGCAATGATTTTTTTTAAAACTATTTACAGATGTTACTATCAGATGGTAGAACAAGGACTGAAATTCTCCCCAAATTCATTAATCTGCTACTTCCAGAGAAGTGTTGATCCACAGAGCTGCAGATATCGACATAGAAACAACAGAGCTTTACTGGTCAAACAGCCCTTTTGCTCTGATGTGTGTTGTGCTGGAGGTTTATCGTTGTAGTACAATAACTACACCCACATCATAAAACGTTACTCACATAGGAGGATGTACAACATGATGAGCCACTAACAGAGCACGATCCAACTTCATTTTGAAGTGGACCATCTGCTCGTTTGACTGACTGACTATCAATCAGTGTGACTGTGCGTCCAGCTGATCACCATGACAGCCGCCGGTCAGGTGCGGTTGCTGTCATTGGCAGCTGTTGACTTCTTACCGTCTGAAGACACTCGATCACTTTGTTCATGTAGACCTTCTGACAGTCATACGGAGGGAAGGGGAAATTCACCGTGACTCCATTCACACTCAGTGTCGGCATCTCGAGTCTCCAACTAACGCTTCCCCAACAGGAACCAGTGACCGCGTCTCACATTCAGAAAAACGGACCCTTCAGTCAGGACGGGAGTCCTCACGTCCCAAACACAGGACCAGGACCACGCATGGTCTTCACGTCACTAACACATGTGATGTAAAGGCAGGAATTGGCTCCAGCTTCCCGCTCTCAGCTCGGTGCGCATGCGCGTTGCAACACCGTCCCTGTGCTGCGTTCATGTGCAGGCGGAGAGCAGAGACACGGTGCAGCATTTTTTTTTAATTTAAAGGTCCAGTGTGTGAGATTTAGATGAAAGGGAACTATTTGGCAGAAATTTAATGTAGAATGATCCTCATGATGTTTTCTCTAGTTTGTTTCATCTAAGTGTATGAATTTTAGTTTTCTTTACTCCAGATAAGGCTCTTTATATTTAAATACTTTATATTTACATTGAGGTCCTCTCTATGGAGGCCGCCATGTTTTTTACATTAGTCCAGACTGGACAAACTAAACACCTTTTGAGTTTTTATGACAACTGAAGCTACCACAGGTTCTTTTTCATGTTTGGAAGGAGAGGGTGAGGTGAGGGGTGTTCAGCTGCAAAATGCAATTTCAACACTAGATATCACTAAGATATCACTATGCTGCATTTCATCATAGAGTAACAAATCTTTAACTATGCCCTGTTTCTAACAAATCTTGGCTGGATATTAAAATCTGGTTATCACTCAAAGTATACAACCTTCCGATCATTATCTTTTCCCATATTCTTTTTTATTTGAAAAATCTAAATTCATTGGTCTCTGATGTGGTTAACATGATATAATCCTTATGGGTAAATATATTCTTTGCAGTAAAAGGAGACATTTTAAGCCCTCTGTTGAATGGTTTGTAAATTATTCTAAATTCTTTACTATTTAAAATAATGCACTGTGCAAGAAACATTTAAATGGATGTATGTTTTTTAATTTAATTCTTTATGTCCCCTTTTGGAGGTCCAGTTTGTGGTGGCCTTTAAATATTAATTGTTTTTTTATTGGTGTAGAATCACCTGAATACACATTAAACCCTTAAGTTCTTTAAGTATTGGTTATGAACGTTTTTGTTTTCTTACTTTCTTATATTTGTTTAATCACTGAACGTTAAGTATTCCCCTTCAATATAAAGGTGTGTGTGTGTGTATCTATGTATTTCGTATTTTTAAAAGCAATCCATTAGTCAATCAAAGGCTAAAACGGGAGTTACTACTAACTTGTTTGTTTATCTCTAGGGACATCGGACTGGAAGGCTGCTGGTTCGTTTATCATTACATAATTATTGTAAATGTAATACTTTTGTGTTCTTAGTTTCATAGGTGATGGATTTACATCAATTTATAAAGCTTTGTTCTGTTCAAACTGAATAATTTTGCTAACTGTTGAACCTGGTTCTCCTCCCATCACTGTGCTTCAATGTGGCAGATGGATTCATAAACTGCTCAAAGACCAGAAGTGAAAACTCATCAATGTCAAACATGATCTTAGACACAGTCAGTGGGATCACTATGAGATTTTATGGAGGCTGTAACGACTCTAAAACTAAGATCACCATCTCACATCATGATATCTCAACTACAACTCTCTGCCTCCACAGCAGGAGCAGAATGTTGAGCTCTCACGTCTTTACTACTGCAACAAAACCTTTTTTTACTATTAACAATTAACTCTATATAAAATGTTTATCCCTAAATATTATTTGAGTAAATATTAGGGCAAACTGTATATTTTCAAATATTTTGTATTAAACCAAACTGCAAGTGTGCCATAACTGTTTTAGTCCAATTATGATCAAATTAAAAGTGTTAATAGTCAGAGGCAAGTTTATTAAGCTTGAGATAATAATTAACAACCCAAGATTTTAGATGCCTGACACATTCAGGTCAGAAATGTAGGAACATTTTAGCCCACCCTAGCTGAACACATAACAAAAGGAATAACAAACAAATGAACTTTGGAATTGGAGAATCCTTAAATATGATAAGTTATTTGTAAGGCTGGGAATCTGCTCCTTTTTTTATATAGATCAAAATGTGCACTGTGCACTGGAAACTGTTTATTAGTGGGCATCAAAACATTTATTTCAGATTCAGCTTTAATAAATGATTAGGACAACAATAAAAATATTTGTTCAAACTCTTTGTCCACACACAACAATTACACAACTTAATAACTAATATCATTTATTATAGAGTGATACAATAATTATGAAACACAGAAGGTGGATGATGGGCATCCTACTCCTTTCCAGCAGACGGAAGAATGATCTTGTTTGGGTCGTAATAGTTCTCATCTATGAGAGGAAGACCCTCCTGCTCTTTCTGCTGGATCACACGCTCTGCCTCCCTTCTGGCCCACTGCCGCATTCTGGAACATTCACACAGGAGATACAGTCAGGGAGTAAAGGGAGTGAGAAGGACAGAAAAGGAAACTTGTATATCTACAACTGTAGAAAGATGAACTGTATTTTCAGCCACTAGCAGAACAACGCCACAAAAAACTGAAAATCAGGTTCATCTGCTTCATCTGGACTCAGTGGTTTGAAAACAAAAAGATAAGATTCCCACTAAAGGGGAGGAGCTGCAGAGCATACTAATGATAACCCCCCAGCTTGTGGTTGATTTGATTTTTTAGTTATTGGAAAAGTCAATGGTAAAGATGTTGTTGTTACCCCTTGTTCTGTCAACAATAAGAAGCTTGTTCTATTATAATACACCGCCTGGCCCAAAAAAAAGTCGCCACCAAAAAAAAAGGTCACACTAATATTTCGTTGGATTGTCTTTAGCTTTGATTACGGCATTCGCTGTGGCATTGTTTCGATAAACTTCTGCAATGTCACAAGATTTATTTCCGTCAAGTGCATTCATTTTTCACTAAGATCTTGTATTGATGGTGGGAGATTCGGATCACTGGGAAAAGCCTTCTCCAGCACATCCCAAAGATTCTCAATGGGGTTAAGGTCTGGCCTCTGTGGTGGCCAATCCATGTGTGAAAATGTTGTCTCATGCTCCCTGAACCACTCTTTCACAATTTGAGCCCGATGAATCCTTGCATTGTCATCTTGGAATATGCCCGTGCCAGGGAAAAATCCATTGATGGAATAACCTGGTCATTGAGTATATTCAGGTGGTCAGCTGACCTCATTCTTTGGGCACATAATGTTGCTGAACCTAGACATGACCAACTGCAGCAACCCCAGATCATAGCACTGTCCACACAGGCTTGTACAGTA